TTGATGGTCTGAATTGGTGTGCATTGCAGAAAAAAAAAAGATTCTGAGAGATTTTGCCTTACTTTGAATTAACCCACAGAAGTAAATCATTGTGAATTAAAAAGTGCCAAGGAAATTAGAATACACAATCTAATCTATTATGGGCACAGGTTTCTGTTGTTAATAACAAAAGAATGCTGTGGGTTAGATTCTATGTATAAGAATTCTTGTGTCTTTCTAAATAGTGAATTAATTAAATATAATTCATTTTCATTTGAAACCATTGCCAAATTAGTGGTCAATTGTCAAATAAGACAGGTGGTTTTATATACAGGACACATGTAAACTGTGTTTGGACTGTCCGAAAGGTAGTCTTCATATAAAGGTGATTACTAACACAGCTTTTACTGCATAAATGTTTTTTTATGCAGACATGGATCCTTCACGCCATACAGTAGAACCAGAACTCCAGGATACACCAGTAGTACTAGTAGAATACCAGGAACAATTAGTAGCACTAGCAGGACTCCAGGAGTTATTAGTAGCACTAGCAGGACTCCAGCTTGCGGTAGTGGTTATACTCGCACACCACTGTCATCAGTCAGAAGAACTGGCACATCCTCTATACTGACTTCAACAAGTGCTACTCCTGCTCAGCCTCAACTCTCAGTTATTGTTGGTAAGGGTGTCTCTGACTTGTTACTTAAAAAAATAATAGTTTTGTTGTTGAATAAATATGATAAAGACAAAAGATAGATACATTTTCATTTGCTTTTGAGTAATTCAAAGCATTCCACTTGAACATTGAAATGATCCATTTAATGCCTGTTTTTTCCAAAGAATCTACATCGGAGATTGCAATAACTCAGTTGTTGGAGACCCTGCTTGCTGTGGTTGATGTTGTTGGTTTGAACTCTTTCCTTGGCCAACTTTTTTGATAGTTTAGAAACAACTTTGACTTCTTTTCAACTCCAGATGTTGCACCTTGACTAATGCTTCACAGTCTTAATGCATAGTCTCATTTACAATTATAGCAGTTTACAAAATATGTTTAGAGCTAAATCAATGACGATTAAGTTATCTGTAGCGAATTGCAGATATACACCATCGAGCAGAACAATGGGTCACATAACCAAGAATGATATAATTCCTCACTTGTCTCTTAATTTGTTTTATACAAGTTGTAAACAGTTGTATTCATATGGAGATTGTGAGCCCCTACAGGTGTATTCATATGCAGATTGTAAACCCCTACAGTTGTATTCATATGGAGATTGTAAACCCCTACCGTTGTATTCATATGGAGATTGTAAACCCCTACTGTTGTATTCATATGGAGATTGTAAACCCCTACAGTTGTATTCATATGGAGATTGTAAACCCCCACAGTTGTATTCATATGCAGACTGTAAACCCCTACAGTTGTATTCATATGGAGATTGTAAACCCCTACCGTTGTATTCATATGGAGATTGTAAACCCCTACCGTTGTATTCATATGGAGATTGTAAACCCCTACTGTTGTATTCATATGGAGATTGTAAACCCCTACAGTTGTATTCAGATGGAGATTGTAAACCCCTACAGTTGTATTCATATGCAGACT